TGGTGATGATGACGACGACGACGATGATGAAGATGAAGATGAAGATGAAGATGAAGATGAAGATGATGATGATGATGATGATGATGATGATGATGATGATGATGATGATGATGATGATGATGATGATGATGATGATGATGATGATGATGATGATGATGATGATAACGATGATGACGATGATGGCGATGATGGCGATGATGGCGATGATGACGATTGCGATGATGACGACGGTGATGACGATGCTGCTGCTGATAGTGGTGGCGATGATGATGGTGTTGATGGTGATGGTGATGATGACGATGTCGATGACGATGACGATGAAGGCGATGGCGATGAGGATGGCGATGGTGACGATTACGAGGATCCTAGCTGGAAATTGAGCGCGCAGGATGGTTCTAGTGAATATATATATATATATATATACATACATACATTTACATACATACATATATATATGCGTATGTATGTAGGTAGGTAGGTAGGTATGTATGTATGTGCTTACATATACGTATGTGTATACATACATACACCCATACATGCATGCATACAGACAGACAGGCAGGCAGACTGGCATACAAACAAAAATGCAGACATACATACAGACATACAGTCATACAGACATATAAACATGCATATACATATACATAAACATATACAAATACATATACGTATGAATATACATATACATAAGCATATACATATACATATGTGCACACCTATTTGCACATACTGGCATCCATAATTGTATAGGTTCTTGGTTTGATAATCAGATACTCGTTTGCTCGGCCTTCAGACGCCTGAGACGGTCCAGGGGACCCCTAAGATCGCCCCAAGACGGCCCAAGACAGCCCCAAGACGTTCCAGGATCTCGAAGACAAGGCAGCATAAGGCAAGGTGAGACAGAACAATACCAAGTCGACACGGTGCAAGAGGGTCCCGAGACGGCCGTTAGGTGCGCCCAAGGCCCCAAGACGGCCGTAAAAGAGCCCCGAAGAGGCAAACACACCGATTGTTGCATCTTGCTCCGTGATTTTCTGATTACTCGCCTGCGTGGCCTTCAGAATACCCTAGAGGCCCCTGGAATCGCCCTAAGATGGCCCACGAGGGCCCCAAGACGGCCCAAGAGGGCCCCAAGACGGCCCTAGACAACCCAGAAATGGCCCCGAGAGACCCACAAAAAGGTTTCCAGATCGTGAAAAAGTCGTCGCAGGCAACCGTGGTTTGCGACCGAGTGGCCCCGAGATTCCCCCAGGAGGTCCCAAGACATCGCCATAAGGCTTTCGAGAAGTCCCATGAGTCTCCCAGGAGTCCACGCGAGACTCCGAGGACGCCCCCAAGATGCCTGCAAAGAGATCAGACCCATACTCAGGGTCAGCCAGGTACAGATCAATCCATTCCGAGATGCATTTAAACACCCTCTTAGCTTGGCTAGGCTACGGGGAAAGTGTTCCAGCATAGAGTAGGGAGAGGGGTAAATCATTCCCTGGAGGGGAAGAAGAGGGTGAAGGAAGCTACCATCAAAAAGCCAGTTTCGCTTAAAGTGATGGTTGGAGCTACGCTTGTTTGTTTATCACTACGTCCGCCTCCATTCTACTCCCCCTCCCCTCCCAATTCCCGCCCCTCCTTCCCCCGCAGGGTGCAGAGAGCAGATCAAGAGCCTCCTCATTCGCCACAATTCTGAAAGCTTGGCATTCACTTGATGCATGCATGGCCACCTGCTCACGCCCCTCCTCCCCTCCCCTCCATTCCCCTTCCTCCTCCCCTCCCCCTGCTCCCTCTCTCCCTCCCTGCTCTCGCTGATGAGAACGATCATCCCATCATTAGCAACAGCAGCAGCAGCAGCATCAACATCATCAGCATCATCTTCATCTTCATCATCATCAGCAGCAGCATCATCGTCATGTTCATCTTCATCATCATCAATCATCATCATCCTCATCATCATCATCATCACCACCACCATCATCATCATCATCATCAGCAGCATCATCATCATCATCGTCATCGTCATCGTCATCGTCATCATCATCCGCTTCTCCCCCGCCCGAGCCAGGCACCCTTCGAGATGCAGGAGGCCGCCGGCCGCTGCCTCGTGCAGCTCACGGCGGCCGACTCGGTATTCCTGCCGATGGTGGAGGCCGACCTCTCTGGGCGGCTGCGGCGGGAGCAGGGAGCGGCGGCGGCGGCGGCAGCGGCGGCAGCCGCAGCAGCGCTGGCGGCGGCGGCAGCGGCTTCGCCGGCGGCAGCGGTGGCGGCGGCAGCGCCAGCAGCGGCGGCAGCGGCGGCGGCTGCGGCGGCAGTGGCGGCGGCAGCACCAGCAGCGGCGGCGCCAGCAGCAGCGGCGGCAGCGGCGGCGGCGGCAGCCGCGGCCGCGGCAGCGCTGGTCGGGCGGCGGAGGTCTGCGGAGGCAGTCGGAGGCCGGGGTCTTCGGTGGGCCCTCGGAGGCCTCTCCCAGTTGCAGAGATTGGTCATTCGATCATAGCAGTAAGTCAGGCCTGTCCCTCTACAGGGGGAGTATTCAAAACTAGTCAAAACATAGTCTGGGGACGATCTGTTTAAATGTTTTGACATTTTTTATTATTTGGGGTACTTTACATGTTTCGTCCAAAATCCGCCTGTAGGAGGACATGCCCGACCTAATCATAGCATGGGTAGCAGACCGAGCTCAGGTCTTCTCGGAAAAGATCATGAGCTTCACCGAGTCATTGCCCCCCGAGGTGAGCTCGCAGAGCATCAGTGTCGATGGCACCAGCGTCACCAAGGAACCCGCTGCGCCATCGGCAGGCAAGCAATCTGACGTGGCGACGAGGTCAAGCGGGGCACTCGATCCTGGCCTCCCAGATGGCGTCGGAGGACCGGAGTGCGAAGCTACAGGCCGTGCCCGCGCTCACGCACAGGCAGAGCTCTGAGGTTTAGGCCAAAAACCGTTCGACTTGGGGGGCTGGCAGGAGGCCGCGGGTGCCGCGCGGCCCTGGGCGGGCACGGCCTCCAGCGCCAGCGTGTCGGCTTCTGTGGTCTGCTCCGGGGCCGGGCGGGGCGGCAGCGGCGGCGGCGGGCAGGAGCGGAGGGGGGCGGGGGGCAGCAGCGCAGGGGAGGGGGGAGGGGGGAGGTGGCGAGAGAGAGAGACAAGGGGGAGGAGGAAGAGCAGGGGGAGGAGGAGGAAGAGGAGGAGGAGGAGAGGGTGAGCCGGAGAAAGGAGGGGAGGGGAAGGGGGAAGGAAGCCTCCTCCTCTTCCTCCTGCTCCTCCTCCTCCTCCTCCTCCTCCTGTTCCTCCTCCCCATCCTCCTCATCATCATCATCATCATCATCATCATCACCATCATCATCATCATCATCATCATCATCATCATCATCATCATCATCATCATCATCATCATCATCATCCTCGTCGTCATCATCATCAGCAGCATCAGCATCAGCATCAGCATCATCATCGGCAGCAGCATCATCATCCTCATCATCCTCATCATCACCATCCTCAACATCATTATCCTCATCCCCATCCCCATCCCCAGCCCCGTCCTCACCATCAGCAGCAGCATCATCAGAATCCTTACCCTCATCCTCATCATTATCATCATCATTATCATCACCCTTATCATCATCATCATCATCATCATCATCAGCAGCAGCAGCAGCATCATCATCATGTTCATCATCAACATCATCCTCATCCTCATCCTCATCCTTATCCTTATCCTCATCCTTATCCTCATCCTCATCATCATCCGAGAGAGAAGGGGGAGGGGGGAGCCGGAAAAAGGGGGAGGGGAAGGGGTAAGGAAGCTTCCTCCTCTTCTTCCCCGTCATCATCATGCTCATCAGCAGCATCATCAGCAGCATCATCAGCAGCATCATCATCGTCATCCTCATCAGCATCATCAGCATCATCATCGTCATCATCAGTATCAGCAGCATCAGCAGCAGCATCATCATCATCATCATCATCACCATCATCATCATCATCATCACCATCATCATCATCATCATCATCATCATCATCATCATCATCATCATCATCCTTACCCTCATCCTCCTCCTCCTCCTCCTCCTCCTCCTCCTCCTCCTCCTCCTCATCCTTGCCCCGCTGGACGCGCACGACGTGACGATGCCCCCGCACGCCGGCTCCATCGGCCTCGAGGCCACAGCCGACCTGGCGAGCCTCCCCGCTGGGCGTGGACGACGACGACGACGACGACGACGACGACGACGACGACGACAAGGACGACGACGACGACGACGACGACGACGACGACGACAAGGACGACAAGGACGACGACGACGACGACGACGACGACGACGACGACGCTGCAGCGCAGAGGGCGGCGGCCCGGGGCCTAGCCCCGGTCCGGCTCCAACGTCGTCGCCGGCGTCGTCGAGGGCCCGAGAGGCCCCGAGGCCGGAGGCCCGCATCGGGCGGTGTGGGCGAGGGCGAAGTCCGCTCGGGACGCTCGATCTCCTCCTCACCCTCCTCCTCTTCCCCCTCCCCCTCCCTCCCCCCCTCCTCCCCGCCTCCTCCTCGTCCTCCTCCTCCTCGTCCTCCTCCTCCTCCTCCTCCTCCTCCTCCTCATCCTCCTCCTCCGCCTCCTCCTCCTCCCCCTCCTCCTCCTCTTCCTCGTCCTCCTCTCCTCCTCCTCCTCCTCCTCCTCCTCCTCCTCCTCCTCCTCCTCCGCCTCCTCCCCCCTCCTCCTCCTCCTCCTCCTCGTCCTTCTTCTCCTCCTCCTCCTCCTCCTCCTCCTCCTCCTCCTCCTCCTCCTCCTCCTCCTCCTCCTCCTCCTCCTCCTCCTCCTCCTCCTCCTCCTCCTCCTCCTCCTCCTCCTCCTCCTCCTCCCCGTCCTCCTCCTCCTCCCCCCCCCTGCCCCTTCGCAGCGACAGGAGGCCCGCCTGCTCTCCCTCGGAGCTCGGAGCTGCGGACGCTTCTGGCTCGTCGGAGCTTGGAGCCCTCGACCCGCCAGTGCCGCATGGCTTCAGCGGGCTGGGGGAGTGTAAACGCGGGCCGCCTGCGACCGCCAGATGATCAGGGGGGATGGCCCCCCGAGGGAGACCGACGAAAAAGCAGCACGAGGGACAGCAGCAGGAGGACGAGAAGGGAGGAGGAAGGAGCAGGAGGCACGACGGATCGAGGCGAGAGGAGAGGGGAAGGCTTGCGATTGCCCGGGCCACTGCGCAGCGTGTCGCCGTTTCTGGGTTGCTGCTGGAGAAGTGCTTGGCAGTGCGGGTCCGCAGAGATGGCTGGATTCTTGGGGACTGGCCAAGCCATCGGTGGAGGCCGTTCAATCATTGGCGATGGTGCACTACGCGCATCACGCCTGCATCTGGCCACCTTGTTCCTCATGAGCACGTGGCTTCTCGATTGGAGGACGTTTATCGTACAGTCGTGGCGCTGAAATAAGGAGCAGTTCGGGTTCGGAAGAGGCTCGTTGTTCCATCGGTCCTTCCACGATTCTTCCTCGGGCGCTCCTCGTGCACCCAGGCGCTTTGAGAGCCAACAGGGGGAGTCGTTCCTGATCTTGCAATCATTGTGGTAGCAGCTTGACTGTACTGTGACATTGGCGTCACCGAACTCGCGAGCCCTTCATCAGCTTGCTGACAATCTGCTGTGGCGAAGCCTCGTTCGGCCCGCTTGCTGCGTCCCTGCTTCCCCACTGTCTGCCTGGATGCGGAACAGCGGCGCAGCATGGCCTTCAGAAGCGCGGTGTTCGACTGGACCCTTGCTCAGCACGTCTTCGATGTTCTCGGTGGCAGAGCCCGCTCCTCAATCGGGATGCCCCGTCGCTGCGGATCCCCGGCACGGTGTGCCGCGCAGTCCGCGGTGAAAACCGTCGCGGCGCTCTGCAGGCGGGCCCTGCCCCTCGACTCCCGCGGCGAAGCTGCATGATTGGTCACCGACGGCACCAGCAGCCGGCTTGGCTCCTCTGACAGCAATGTCGGCCTTGCTGGCTGCCTCCTTTACCGTCGACGCTCTCGACGGTGTTTGCCACACCGCTTTCGCGTGCGAGGTTTTGGCCAATGCGGCCCGAACACAGCCCATTCCAGCCCCGCCTAGTGGGAAGCTCGGTCTCTTGGTGACGGGGAGGGGATGGGAGATGATCTACCCTCGTTGACCTGGGGGTGCTCGCAAGCGCTGACGATCTTGAGTATAGTGTTCTTCCGCAGTTTGATCTTGTTGCAGGGCGACCTTGAGCAGGTGATCTGGTCCTCCTGCCTGATGGCTATCATTGTCGATGATCTCTTGGTCCGCTGTCTGATGATGCGGGCAGGCTGCACAGTCAGACCGAGGTCTGAGATCGAGGCCAGCTCGGGGAGGGTACCCTAATGTTTTTCGTGTTTGCTGGATGGTTGTTGGCCAGTTCGCTACAACGGTGCCCCCGCTTATTTGGCTCCGTCCGTCGGCGCAGACGACGCCCGCCTGGCCGCCGACGCAAAGAACAGGTGCTGTCGGATGTTCTTGCGCACCCTGGGGAAGGGTACCCCTGGATATTATGTTTGTTTTGGCTGGCGGAGGGTCTCGTGTTCTTGAGGGAGGCTCTTCGGGCCTAGGTCTGACCGCATCAGGCGGCTCGGCCAGATTCGGGCCCTGGAGCAGACAGGGCCCGGATGCTTCCGAGAGGGATTCTTGGAAGGCAGGAGGGTTTCCGAGAACCTCCCTTGCCCAGAAGGTACCCCCTCGTCCAGCCAACATGATCCTCCTCTTCCTCCTCCTACTCCTCCTCCTCCTCATCCTCATCCTCATCCTCATCCTACTCCTGTAGACTAAGGTATGTTATCATGTCCGAGGTTCGACTGCAGACTCTCACATCCCAGTCCTCTACGCCGCCCTGCCTGTCCATCCGCCGCCGCGCCGCCGCTCCTTCCCGTGATGTTGTGTTTGTTCATGCCAGCAGCGAGGAAGACGGCTAGTCTCGAGTGCATCCTTGTCGTCCTGCTTCGTGTTCCTCCTCCTCCTCGATGACGACGCTGGTTACATCGGAAGTGACGAAGAATACGGGCTTTAGCAGCACCGTCCCCCTCGTCTTGCACACTACAATGATGGTGTTGATCACGCTGGCGGTGAGGAAGAGAACGGGTCTCAAAAGCATCCTCGCCCCGTCCAACACAACGGTGTTATCGATCACGGTGGTCGTGATGAAGAAAGTCTCAAATGTATCATCTTCCTCGTCCGATTCCGCGCAATGATGCAGCTGAGCACGCTGGTGGTGAGGGAGAAAGTAGGACTCCCGAGCATCCCCCTCGTCGTCCTACACCACCACGCGTTGATGCTGTTGATCACGCTGGGGATGAGGAAGAAATCTAGTGCACCCTCGTCTTGCGAGTAGCGATGACGATGCTGGTCACGATGGTGGTGAGCAAGGATAAGGGTCTCAAGAGCATCCTCCGCCTCGTCCCAAACCACAGCTTCGCATCCCCGTCCCGAGCCACGCGTTGGTATTATTGTTCACGCGAATGGTGAGGAAAAGAATACGTAGCATATGCATCCTCTCCGTCTTGCTTGCCCAATGACGATGCTGGTGGTGAGGCATCAGATTCGTATTAAGAGCATCCTCCTCGTCGTTTCGAACCACGCAATGTTCTGGACTCCCTACTACCGGATGATGTTTCTGAGATGCTCTTGGGCTTCTGGGCCCACTGTACGGTGGTGCGCCCGCCTACCAGCTCGACGGCGACGGTGCTGGCCAGATCCATGGCGGCACCGATCTCCATGGCTCCGACGGTAGCGGCACTGGGCGACACATCGACGATGGCGGCGACGCCTTCATGGTCGCCCGTGACGTTTTCTGAAGGGAGGAAAAAGCCACCCTGACCCCGACAATTGGCGTTTACAGAACGGCCCTGGGCGTTTACTTAATAGCCCTGTCCTGTTGATTTCTTTTCCTTAGGTTGTGCTTACTAAACGGCTTCGCTTGTCGGGGTGCTCATGATAGGCGGTAGATGTTCTGCCTTCTATTCTCGTCGAAACGATCGACGGCCACCGTTTTGGGACTCGCGGTCTCCGCGCGGAGGGGGCCCGCGTCCCTGCGGTGCGCTGGTGCCCTTCCCTCTGCGGGGTCCAGGAGAGGCCCCGTGGGAGGCCGACGGAAGTCTCCCGGAGGTCGCCGGGGGGCTTCTCGAAGGACCGCCAAGGCCTTGCCAGAGGCCCAGGACACTTGGCATCGCTCAGGCTCGTGCATTTTGTTGGTCTCGGCGAGGACCATCGAGGAGCATCCCCAGACCTCCTCGCCTGGTGAAAAATCGCAACGGGAGGTTTTTCGCTATGTTCGGCTTCTGATAGCCCTTCCCAGGCCTCGGGGCCGTCAAAAAACGGTTCAAGACAAAGAGTTCGGTCCCGGGTAAAGGGTCCAGACCTCTGGGGGTCGACGTTTGTTCGGGGGCGGAAAAGAGGGTGGTGATGACAAGGGGGGGGGGGGGATATCATGGCGTGGGCCATGATATTTCCCCAGATTTCATGGCGCCTCTTCTTATTTCATTACGTCCCTGGCCCCCCCGCTGGGCCGCGCACATGCCACCGGTCATGATTTGCACCCCCCCCTCTTGGACACCCCCCTCTTGGCCGCTCCCGATTTTGAAAAAATCACGACGTCGGGAGTCTGGGTCTTGGATCATCTGGCAGAAACAGTGCGCACGAAATCGAAGGGTGCACGGGGAAGGGACGTCCGCGCGACGGCAAGGAGACCTCAGAAGGCCGAAGGCCTCGACCTCTCGAGCCTCCTGACGTGTCCTGGCGTTTCGGCACAGAAGTGCGCGATGACGTGCATGCGGCAGATGCGGTCGCACCGAGGCATCAGATCGAGGTCGGTCCGGGGAGGGTACCCTCGAATGCTCTTCGTGCTTGATTGGGTGTTCTTGTGCACCCTGGGGGAGGGTACCCTCGAAGGTTCTTCAGTTTGGCTGGCGGAGGGCCTCATATGAAGGCTGTTACTATGTACTAGGTCCGGCCGTAACTGCACGCATGTTACAAAAACGGCGGCCGCGAACGGCGGCAGGGGCGGCGGCTGTTCGAAGGAGAAGCCGACCTCAGCCTGGACAAGAGTTGCAGCCGTGTGCTGCCCTGAGGTGTTGGAGCGCCACCTCGAAGCAACGACGGAACGTGAACCTCCTCCTCCTCCTCCTCGTCGTCCTCCTCCTCCCTCCATCCGTCCAGCCTTGCCTCCCTCCTCCTCTTACTCCTCCCCCTCCTCCTCCTCCTTTTCCGCTCCTCTTCCTTATAAGCAATTTCTCCCTGTCGCACCCCGAGGCCAGTTTTTAGGGCGGGCTGGGTGTTTTGCTTGAGACTTCCTCACCACTTGCGACCCTGATGCTCAAAATTTGACAACAGTTTCACAGATGGAGTGCGGACCGTATTCAAAATGTGGCTCTCGCTTTTTTGGGGCCGCGCACACTCGTTTTAAACATGCGAAAGAGTTTCACGGGTTGAGGGCGGGTCGTTTTCAAAATGTGGTTGTCGCCTCAGCGCCGCGCACATTCGGTTTAAAGATCTGCAAGAGCTCCACGGATTGAGGGCGGCTCCTTTTCAACATGTGGCGCTCGTTTTAGCGCCGCGCACGTTCTTGTTTAACAAAATTGCAAGAGCTTCACGGATTGAGGGCGGGTGGTTTTCAATATGTGGTTCTCGCTTGAGCGCCGTTCACATTATTTTGACAAAAAATCAAGAGCTTCACAGATTGAGGGCGGGTGGTTTTCAACATGTGGCTCTTTCCTTAGCGCCGCGTACATACGTTTTAACATGTGCAAAAGGTTTACGGATTGAGGGCGTTTCTGTTTTGAATGCTATTCTCGACTCAGCGCAACGCACATCCGTTTTAAAGAGCTTCACGGGTTCCCATGACGAACAAATCAAAAATGGTGTGTTGGAAGGATTCATGATCATGAGGGTGCAACAGTTACGCTGATTCGCGGTGTTCATTTCCCAGGAATGGTGTTCTGGCACGGTTCAAGATCGTCAAGACGCAACATCCGGTTGATCCGTGGCGTTAGAATCCGAACAATGTTCTGGCATGCTTCAGGGCCTTCATTCGGTTGTTTTCCAACGAGGCAGTTCCCTCAGTGGAAATTAGACCGTTGTAGTGGCCTGTAAAGATGGAGCTTGGAGGGAGGGTTTATTCTAGCATCGTTGATGACCCTTGGGTTCCCACTGGTCCTCCTCCTCCTCCTCCTCCTCCTCCTCCTCCTCCTCCCCCTCCTCCTCCTTCTCCTCCTCCGCCTCCTCCTCTTCCTCCCCCTCCTTCTCCTCCCTCAACGCCCCCAGCGCTGCTCACCCCCCCAGAGGCGTCTGGCCAGGACCTGCAGAGCCAGCAGATCGCGCAGCTCACGTCGCTGCTCAACCGCCACGTCAACGGGCTGATCAGGGCCCGCCTGGGCACAGTCGTCGTCGTCGTCGTCGTCGTCGTCGTCGTCGTCGTCGTCGTCGTCGTCGTCGGTCGGCTTGTCGGTAGGATCGAAATACCAGGCCTCCAAGATGGGGTCCGACTAGATTGGGTAGGATCGTGCTCCTCGGCGTTCCGTTCCTCCCTGGGCCTCCTGGAGGGCCCCCGCCACCACGGCTGGACGCGCCCTGAGGTCCCGGTCGGAGCGCGCCCTAGGATGGGCCGTCGCCATCTTCAGCGAGGAGGAAGACGTGGGGAAGGGGGGGAGGGGACGAGGAGGAGTAGGAGGAAGAATCAGGAGGCTTCCGGGTCAAAGAAGAGGAGGGCGATGAGGGGAAGGATGAGGAGGAGGAGGAGGAGGAGGAGGAGGAGGAGGAGGAGGAGGGAGAGGGAGGAGGAGAAGACCGTAGCCATCTTGGCTCAAGGGAAATCGGGTGTCACTTAAGTAGCCAAGTGAATCCGATATTATTTTAGTCTGTGTCCGAAGCTGGCTTGAGCAGCTGGCACCTGGCCTGAGCAGGCCACCATTCGACGCCCACTCCACAGTGTGGTTTGGTTCCTGTTGTTCTTTTGGGTGCTCGCTCCCAGTGGCAGGTGCTACTACATTCCGAGCGACAGAACTTCGGAACCAGGGCGACGACAGCAGCGGCGAGCAATCTGGGTGAGTTTGGCTCACGTGGACACAAGCGAAGCGGGGGTTCGCTCCAGCGTGAAGGCCTGATGGACGCTGAATGTGTCAGAGACCATGTGGATATCGTTCAGGGGCTGCTCACACAGACCGATGACATTCGCCAACAAGCACTGGTAGATCTCGCAGGGGTGCAGAGATCGATCAACGACGCGCTCAACAATTTATCGATTCGGGCACCGTCGACTTGCAGCGCGCTCTCGAACAAGCTGTGGGCACGTATCTGTCCTGTGGAACGGTTGGCTACGCTGGAGGCTGATTACGGACGATTTCGTGGAGAAGTCAACGTGGCGTGCATTGACCAGCCAGCACGGGTGCGACGCCCAGTGCAGGGACGAGGGTTTATTCGCGAGGTGGGCCCGTGACCCGTGCATCATCGCGGCGCGCGCGAAGCTCCAGGTGGCCAAGGAGGTGGCGACGCAGACGATGTCCCAATGGATGGCAGATGCGGACGTCCCGCAAGGCGAGGGACAGTTCGAAGGCGAACCGACCTCCAAGAAGTTCATCGTTCGTATGGCCGGCGCGACAGACTTTGCCAGCAGGCGCGTGCAACATGCACGTAGCATCCTTTGACCTGCGGGACCTGGAGGACAAAGGAGGCGCTTCACTGCACGGTCGATCACGGGCAAGACATGCGAAGTCAGCGTGGGGGTGGGCAAGAACCAGAGTCGTGTGCAGAAATGTGTGTACAGCTGTCAAACGCGTCTTGCAGCGGCGCTACCCTCACCACACCTTCTACGCGGACAAGGCCAGGGGTTGCGTCGATGAATTGGAAGCCGATTCTCGACATCACCTTGATGGAGGACCAGGATCTTCCAGAGATCAGGTTCGCGGCATCGAACATAGCAGCAGAGAGAATCGAGAGTAGCGCGACCGAGGACTCGCTCAAGACTGAACTCAGGGCTAGCAACTGCGCCCCTGAGAGGAGTCTTTAGCAGCACATGTGCGCCATGGGGCAGCACGCGTAGACCGCCCGCGCCCTTTCGTCTGGCAGCTTGCCCCTTCCTTCTCCTTGCCCTCCCCTGCCCATGTTCATTCGGAACGCACTGATGGCGCCTCAACGTTTGGCCCAAAAATCTCAACGCCTCGCGCACGCCCGCCAGCCCATCCAGAGACACATCACCAGGCAAATTTCCTTTATCATGTCCCTCTGCAGGAGAGATGTTCAAAAATAGTCAAAAATAGTCTGGGGACGATTTGTTGATGATCTGTTGGCCAGGTTTGGTTATCCGTAAGGGCTTCGCCCCATGCCGCCGGCCCCCTGTCTCGGATAATGGGAGATGCAAAAGCTGAATCATGAGGTCTGGGTGCCGCCGTGAAGCAGTGTCGGGACCTGTTTGTTTTTCGACCCTGACCCCGCCGATCTGCATGATGGGTGCCACCGAATTTCAGGAATGTGACACATCCCGTATGTTTTTCGACCCTGACCCCGCCGATCTGCGTGAGGGTGCCACCGAATTTCAGAAATGTGGCAAATCCCTTATGTTTTTGGACCCTGACCACGCCGATCTGCATGAGGGGTGTCACCGAATTTCAGAAATGTGGCAAATCCCAAATGTTTTTGGACCCTGACCCCGCCGATCTGCGTGAGGGGTGATACCAAATTGCAGAAATGTGGCAAATCCCATGTGTTTTTGGACCCTGACCCCGCCGATCTGCGTGAGGGGTGTCACCGAATTTCAGAAATGTGGCAAATCCCAAATGTTTTTGGACCCTGACCCCGCCGATCTGCGTGAGGGGTGCCGCCGAATATTAAAATGTCGCAAATCCCATTTGTTTTTGGACCCTGACCCCGCCGATCTGCGTGAGGGGTGATACCAAATTTCAGAAATGTGGCAAATCCCATGTGTTTTTGGACCCTGACCCCGCCGATTGCATGAGGGGTGCCACTGAAGTTCAAACATGTGGCAAATCCCTTGTGTTTTTGGACCCTGACCCTGCGGATCTGCGTGAGGGGTGTCAGAGAACCCTCCCAGGCGTGGTAGTTCTGCTGGTTTGAGCTCCCCCCCCCTCGCGCGTTCATCAACAAGGAACAGTAAGCAGCAAGAAGCAGAACTGTAACAGTGGAAACTGGAAGCTGCAACTGGTACAGAGAGCAGCACATTCCTGGCCCCGCAAGGGGGCCGGCGGATGGTTTGACTATGTTTATGTTTCGTCCAAAATCCACCTGTAGGAGGACATGCCCGACCTAATGCCAGAGTCGCCCTCTCTGTGGAGACGCCCAGATCTCCGACGATACAGTAAAGTCGGGCACGCCCCTCTACAGGAGAAATATGCAAAAATGGTCAAAGAAAATAATTGTGGAGACGATTTTCCGACTAGGTTTGAGCAGTTCCCAACCATCCGGTGGTGTTGGGTCTTCGTTTTGAAGAGAGCGCACCGCGTTCTCACTACTCCTCCCGCTGCTCCCTCCTCCCCTTCCTGCCTCTGCTCTCTCACATGCCCATTTCGGCGCACCCTCACACGTTTCGTGGCCCTATAGGGTGCTCCGCCCAAGGCCCCAGTGGCAGGGTCCGCACGCAGTTCCATCTCCATTTCGGCGCACCCCTCACACGTTTCGTGGCCCCATAGGGTGCTCCACCCAAGGCCCCAGTGGCAGGGTCCGCATGCAGTTCCACTCCCATTTCGGCGCGCCCCTCACACGTTTCGTGGCCCCATAGGGTGCTCCACCCAAGGCCCCAGAGGCAGGGTCCGCATGCAGTTCCACCCCCATGTCGGCGCACCTCTCACACGTTTCGTGGCTCCGTAGAGTGCTCCACCCAAGGCCCCAGTGGCAGGGTCCGCGTGCAGTTCGACCCCCATTTCGGCGCGCCCCTCGCACGTTTCGTGGCCCCATAAGGTGCTCAGCCAAAGGCCCCGGTGGCAGGGTCCGCATGCAGTTCCACCCCCATGTCGGCGCACCCCGCACACGTTTCGTGGCTCCATAGGGTGCTCCACCGAAGGCCCCCGTGGTGGGGTCCGCATGCAGTTCCACCCCCATTTCGGCGCACCCCTCGCACGTTTCGTGGCCCCATAAGGTGCTCAGCCAAAGGCCCCGGTGGCAGGGTCCGCATGCAGTTCCACCCCCATGTCGGCGCACCCCGCACACGTTTCGTGGCTCCATAGGGTGCTCCGCCAAGGGCCCCAGTGGCAGAGTCCGCATGCAGTTCCACCTCGACTTCGGCGCACCCCTCGCACGTTCCGCGGCCCAGGGGAACGCCGCTCCCCAGACATGGGGGGCGGCGTCCCGGGCGTCGCCTTGACGCGCGTCGCAGCGACGCCCGAGACGCCAGGGGCGCGAAGAACCCCCAGGGCGCGGGCGGGTGGGACAAAACGCGGCACGCGGCGTCGCATGGGCGGCGTGCACGCCACGAGCCCCGCGTGGCCCCCTCCCCAGAGGCGAACCCACGGCGCGCACAGCCGCGCGCACGGACGGGCCCCACGAGGCCGCCCCAACGCCACCCGCACCACGATGCGGTGGCCCAGCGCGGCGGGGCACGTGTCCGCCAGCTCCCACAGCCTTGGCCAACAGGCCACCGGCCGCACATGGGCGGACCGCGGACAAGAGAGCGCAAGAGAGCAGAAGCGACAGCCGCACTGGCAGAGCAGCACCAGTATCCCTCCCCCACCCACGGCCCCGCACCCCGACCCTCCCCCCGCCCCAAGGACGAGGAGAGGGCAGGGATGCGGGGCAGACGCAGGGGCAGCATTCGTGCCAGCCCACAAACCCTGCAACAGTGCGAGCACTGTCCCCGAGTTTGTGGGTTCATCACACATGCCTGCCCCACGCGCCGCGGGAGGGGAGAGGGATACCGAGGCCCGCTCCGCGGCCCAGGGGAACGCCGCTCCCAGACATGGGGTGCGGCGCCCCGAGCGTCGCCTTGACGCGCGTCGCAGCGACGCCCGGTACGCCAGGGGCGCGAAGAACCCGACGCCAGAACGTGGCCCTGGCGGCTCGGGCGGCGCCTGCCCCGGAGGCGCACCACCCCCCGCTGCATGCGCCTGCAGGGGTGAGGCAAGGCACGATGCCAAGCGGACCTCCCACGCGGAGGACGCCCCAGTACGCTGCGGCTCGATGCACCGCCCGGACTTATGAATCGACGAAGAGTCGCTGCTGGAAGACTCGTCCAACTGCGCCTGCGAGCAACGAATGCACTACGAACCGCCTTAATACGGAACGCGTCACGCCTCCAGTACGGCGCCCGACGCAAGGTCCTGAGAATGAATGTGTTGGAGGAGCGCTAGTGAACGCCACTGCCCGGCTTGTTGAATCGCCCCCAGGCGAGTGCCACCTTCAAGCATGTCTTGCGCGCGCCCCGCGGTCGCAGCGCGCGAACGGGCGCGGTGCCCGAGCCTGCGCATGGCCGCGGCGCAGGTCGTGAGACCGATACAGCTGTGCCTCGGGGACAGACAGCATGGTCAGTATCCTCCGCAGGGACCGCAGCGCCCTGCTAGGCGCCAAGCTCGGGAATAATTTATGCCCCCGGGCACGCGACGCCGCAATCTTTCCGAGCACGTGCACAGGACATGTTTCTGGGTGCTTTGCGCACCAGCAACCGCGGACCAACTCGGTGCCCGACGGCACATTTTTCTGCTGGCCAATCGCAGCCTCAGTTCGTCCCCAGCGATATACAGGCAGGACTGCATGCCATCCACGGGCTCGTTCGCTCCCCACACGCATGGGATTGCCTCCGATGGGACGCGCAGCAGGAAAATATACGCCATTAAGCACAATAATTGCGTCTCTCTCAGTTCAGCGTCGCGCAAAGCCAACTTCAGTATGCGCGCGACCATGCCATGCCGAATATACATCTTCTTGCGCGGGACAAACAGCCGTCGCTTCCTGCGCGCGCCGACAGACCGCGCGACCTGGGCGCGACCGCCCCGCGCGCCCCGCAACCGCCTGATAGCGGTACGAGCCCGCGCCAGTTCGGGCGCATTGAACACTGCCGTATCCGCGCGGCAGAGCCTGCACACTGTGCGCACGAAGCTCAGATAATTCGCGAATGTCCCGCTGCACCGGTGGAGCGATGCCCATGCCAAAAGAGAAACGACGGCGGGCGGGATCTGAGCACTGCCAAGTCCAGGGCGCCCTGGCAAAACCCGTTCCAATACGGTATCCCGCTCCGCAGGCTTGCGATGGACAAGGGGCATGATCCCAGCAGCGACGCACGCGCTCCCGCTCGACCCAGTTGGTGCGCGCCGCTGGCGTACGCAGTTGGCACTGCAGCGATGTTGTAGCGGCGCGCGGACCCTTGCCTGAGCACAACGCTGCCGGTGCGGTGACATCCTCCTCGCCGGCTGTCGCCGCGGCGATGCCGACCTCAATTGTATCCAAATTCCGAACGATGCTGGCGACAGCGGCCGCGACTCACTTCGCACTGGGCTGCGAGACCTTCGCGGCGCCGCCGCGGTACACCCCTCACACGTTTCGTGACCATGTAAGGTGCTCCACCGAAGGCCCCCGTGGCAGGGTCCGCATGCAGTTCCACCCCCATTTCGGCGCACCCATCGCACGCTTCGTTGCCCCATAGAGTGTTCCACCCAGGGCCCCAGCAACAGGTTCCACATGCAATTCCACCTTTCATTTCGGCGCACCCTCTCCACGTTTCGTGGCCCCCAAAGGCCCTAGTGGCAGCGCCCGCACGTGGTTCCACCCTGCGTTTCGGCGCACCCTTCACACGTTTTGTGGCCTCACATGGGGCTGCACCGACGGCTCCGGTGACAGCGTCCGCATGACGTACCCGTGCCAATTTTGGCACACCCGTCACACGCGTCGTGGCCCCAGAGAGAAGTTCACCGAGGACGATACCCACAGCTGCGTGACACACAGCTGCACATGGTTGAGTCCTTCGCCAGGATGATTTTTGACTCTGCCTCACTTCTCTCTCTGCGAAAACCCGCCTGTAGGAGGACATGCCCGACCGCGTTGGGCTGCGGAGGGGCGCGTGCTTGCGGGCCGGTCCCTCGACATGTGTCCCGCAGCCTGTTTGTGGCCCAGGCTCGCCGTTTCCAGAGCAGGCCCATTCGTTCCTTGGGAGGCGCTCCTTTCTAGCAGCACGACGGCCGCATGATTTGTTCGGCTCTGTCGTCTTTCCTTTATGTTGGCCCCTGGGGCCAGCCATCTGAGCAACGCAAAGAAAAAACGGGGTCGTCTTCGTCGACACTGGCGCGTGAGCGTGCCGCGGCGGCGGCCCGCGGAAGCTGCGGCGTAAGGTCGCTGTGTCATCTCGAAGACCCGTTTTTGATGGGATGAGGAGGGGGAGGAAAACGAGGAGGAGGAGGAGGAGGAGACAGAGGAGAAGGATGAGGAGGAGGAGGAGGAGGAGGAGCAGGAGGAGGAGAAGGAGTAGGAGTCTGGAGGGCCCAAAATTGATTTGGGGCGGCGAGCTACCCGTGGGGAGGGGTCGGGGCCTTTCCTGAGGCCGCGCACGGAGAAGCCAGGCTGCCGGGCTTCGTGGGAGGATGGCGAGAGATTTTTGTTCGAGCCGCGGTCCGTCTGGGTCCTCCTCCTCCTCCTCCTCCTCCTCCTCCTCCTCCTCCTCCTCCTCCGCCTTCGCCTCCGCCACCTCCTCCTCCTCCTCCTCCTCCTCCTGCTCCTCCGCCTCCTCCTGCTCCGCCTCCTCCTCCTCCTCCTGCTCCTCCTCCTCCTCCTCCGCCCTCGTCGGGGTCGGAGTCGGGCCCCAGAGCCGTCCAAGGGTGCGTGCTGGGCAGCAGCTCGAGGCGAATGCAGCCGTGGCTTCGAGAGGCCCCGCCGGGGCTCGGGAGGGGCCAGGGACGCCCCCGAAAGCCTAGAGGGGGCTGGAGGTGCTCAGCCCTTCCTCCCTCCCTCCCTCCCTCCCTCCCTTCCTCCCTCCCTTCCTCCCTCCCTCCCTCCCTCCCTCCCTCGAGAGGGTCTGGGGAGAAGCCCCCCACACCCGGCCAGGGAATCATCCAGTTCGACGTGGTGCACGCCTTCGGCAAGTGTGCCCCCGACTCTTGCCGGGCCTAAAACGGCGACGACGACGACGACGACGACGACGACGACGACGACGACGACGACGACGACGACGACGACGACGACGACGGGGGCGGCGGCGGCGGCGGCGGCGGCGGCGGCGGCGGCGAGGGAGCGGGAGCGGGAGCGGGAGCAGGAGCAGGAGCAGGAGAGCAGGAGGAGGACGACGAGGAGGAGTGCGGGAGGAGGAGGAGCAGGAGGAGGAGGAGGAGGAAGAGGAGAGGAGCAGCAAGCAGAAGAAGGACAGATAGAGAGGGGGGCAGGAACTGGTAGAGGTGCAGGAGCGGGGCAGTACGGGGGCGAGCACGGTCACGGAGGAGGAGGACGAGGAAGAGGATGAGGAGGAGGAACAGGAGGGGGAGGAGGAGGAGGAGGAGGAGGAGGAGGAGGAGGAGGAGGAGGAGCAGGAGGAGGAGGAGGAGGATCAGAAGGGGCAGGAGAAGGAGGAGGGCGGGGACCAGAGGGAGGTGCGGGAGGAGGAGGAGGCCGAGCAGCAGGAGTAGGAGGAGGTGGACGGCGACAGCGAAGACGACGAGCCGTCACGAGCCCCCCCCCTTTGACCGCTACCCGAAAGGCCCAGGCTGACCTCGCCGTGTCCGCCCAGCTGTTGCTGCTGCTCGTCGTCACCGTTGTCGTCGCCATCCTCGTCTTCCTCCTCCTCATCCTCCTCCTCGTTCTCCTCCTCTTCCTCCCCCTCCTTCTCCTCCTCATCGTCCTTCTGCTCCACTTCCTCCTTGTCACCCAGCGACGCTCCCCCATTGCAGATCATACCAAGTCATTATCATCACCGTCCTCATCCATCCTTCCCCCTTCCCTCTCCACTCATCATCCTCCTATTCCTTCCCCTCCTCCTCCTCCTCCTTCTCCCCCTCCTCCTCCTCCTCCTCCTCCTCCTCCTCCTCCTCCTCCTTCCGCTCTCCTACCTCATATTCGTCGTTGTCCTCCTCCTCCGCCTCCTCCTGACCATCATCATCGCGTTGCCGCGCTTCTTCCATCCGCAGTCTCCCCCCTACTCCTGCTCCAGTCATCCCTCTTCCTCCCCCTCCCACTCCTCGTCCTTCCTCCTCCCCCTCACCCTCCTCGTTACTATGATCATCGCCATTAGATAATCCGTCCCCATCATCGCCCCCCAGTCCGAGCGAGGTATCTGCCAGCACCAGCAGAGCCACACGAGGAGCGACCTTCCTTGCGAGAAGTGCATGGTCGTCGCCGCCATCCCTCGTCGTCCTCGATCTCCTTCATCCCGTCTTGAACCAGCAAAGCCGCAAACTTGTGTCCCTGCGTGCGCGCATATCGGTGATCAATCACATGGCGTGTGCCTCATCATTGTACGTATCATCGTTATCCTCCCCCTCGTTTCTCTTCCTCCTCCTGTTTCCTCCTCCCCGTTCTTGCTCCTCGTCCTCCTCGTCCTCCTCCTCCTCCTCCTTGATCCTGTGTCTGCTCAGCTTGCTTGTCCTCTTTATCACCTCCTCCTCCTCCTCCTCCTCTTCCTCCTCCTCCTCTTCCTCCTCTTCCTCCGCCTCCTCGTCCTCCTCGTCCTCGTCATGATCATCAGCAGCAGCAGCAATATCACCACCATCCTCATCAACAACAGTATCATCGTCATCCTCTGCATCATCACCATCAGCAACAGCATCAGCATCAGCATCCTCGTGCCTGCTTGCCCTCGTCGTCTGGCCGTGTTCTTCCTACGCCTCCTCGTCCATCCTCCTGTCATATGTTCCTCCTTCCCCATCGTCATCCCGCTCTCTCCTCCTCGTTACTCCTTCTAGCGTGAAGAAGGTAGGCATGGGAGAAGGCACCAAGCGTGCTTGCGTCGCAGCGCGGCAGAGGCAGTCCGCACGCGCGCTCGGGCAAGCAGGCAATACCGCCGAAAAGAACGATGCTAGCGCGCGGACCCCAAGCACTTCACTCGTCCAGAAAATGTCCATCTCCACACGCCTCGCCTTCGTACATCTTACTCCTCCTACTCCTCCGCCTCCTCCTCCTCCTCCTCCTCCTCCTCCTCCTCCTCCCCCCCCTCCTCCTCCTCCTCCTTCTCCTCCCCAGCTCCTCCTCCTCCTCCTCCTCCTCCTCCTCCTCCTCCTTCTCCTGCTCCTCGTTTCCCTCCTCCTTCCACTCCTCAGATTCCTCGTCCTTATGATCCTTCTCATTTTTTTGTGACGGAAAACTCGGACGAACATGATCATTCTCCGCTCCTGGTGTTCCTCCTCCACTCCTGCTTCTTCCCCTCTTGCTCCTCCTCCTGATCCTCCTTCTTCTCCTCCTCCTCCTCCTCCTCCTCCTCCTCCTCATCATCATCATCATCATCATCATCATCATCATCATCATCATCATCATCATCATCATCATCATCGCTCTTTTCTTTCCTCGTTCCGTATCTTTCCCCTCGTTCCCTCTCTTTCTCCACGAGGTCTGCGTTTTCACCTTTCCTCATTCCCTTCTCCTCAGCATTAACCTCCTCCTCCTCGTCCGTTTTTTGCCTCATCGTCGTCACCATGACGAACAACAATATCAACATCATCAGCAGCAGCAGCAGCGTCGTCGTCAGCAGCAGCAGCATCATCATCAGCATCATCACGGCCATCATCTTCAGCATCATCATCAGCATCATCATTATCAGCAGCAGCAACATCGTCATCATCGTCAGCATCATCATAGGCAGCATCAGCATCAGCATTGTCATCATCAGTATCAGCATCATCATCCGCAGCAGCATCTTCATCCTCAGCCTGATCCTGATCCTGATCCTCCGTGCTACAAGAAAGGAAGGGACAAGGGCGGGCCAAGCAACAACAGCAGGGGGAGAGGGCAAATCGTCCAGTCCGCATCTTATGCTTGGGGTGCAAAGACGACCCCCTGTTGAAGCCACTCCCAGGGTCGCTTGGGATCCTCCTCGGGGCAGAACAAGCAAGCGCAGAGAGGGGGTGGAGGGAAAGGGGGGATGGAGTGAGCAGGAGGGAACCGGAAGGGGGAGGAGACGGGCGAGCTGCGGGGTGATACCTCCCCCCATCCTTCCACATCCTGCTCCCCCATCCTCCTCTTCCCTCGCCTCTTGTTCCTATGCTGATGCGCCTGCCCATCCTCCCCAATCCCTCTAACCATCTGTGCTCCCTCCCTCCCTGTTCCTTTTCGTCTCCTCCTCCTCCTCCTCCTCCTCCTTCTCCCCCTCCGTCTCCTCCCTCTACCTCCTCCTTCTCCGCTCCTACTCGTCATCTTCACATCCTCCCTTATCCGTCTTCTCCCTCATCCTTTCCTCCCTCCCTCCTCCTCTTCCCGGTCCTCATACTATTCTTATGATTTCCACTTTACATGCATGTATCTTTCGTCCTCCTTCATATAATGAACATATTCATCTCAAGCATCATCAACAACACCTGAACATGGTCGTCTGCTTCTGCTCCTAATCCTCCTCCTACCCCATCTCCTCCTCCTCCTCCTCCCCCTCCTCCTCCTCCTCCTTCTCCTACTCCTCCTTCTCCTCCTCCTAAGGACACATCAACCTCCTCATCCCCTTCTCCCTCCCTCCCCCCTCTTCCCTTCCCCGTCATCCTCCTCCTCCTTCTCCTTCTCCTCCTCCTTCTCCTCCTCCTCCTCCTCCTCCTCCTCTTCCTCCTCCTCCTCCTCCGCATCCTCCTGCGTTCCTTCTCCTTATAAATAACTTCTCCCTGTCGCACCCCGAGGCCAGTTTTTAGGGCGGGACCGGCGTTTCGCTTGAGTCTTCCCCACCCTTTTATGATCTTGAGTTTTAGAATTCGACAACAGCTTCACAGATGGAGGGCGGATCGTTTTCAACATGTGGCTCTCGCCTTAGCGCCGCGCACACTCCACGGGTTGAGGGCGAGTGGCTTTCACCATGTGGTTCTCGTTATAGCGCCGCGCACATTCGTTGCAAACATTTGCAAGAGCTTCACGGATTGAGGGTGAGTGGTTTTCAACATGTGGTTCTCGCTCTAGCACCGCGCACATTTGTTTGAAAAAATGCAAGAGCTTCACGGATTGAGGGTGGCTCCTTTTCAAAATGTGGTTATCGCCATAGCGCCGCGCGCACTCGTCTTACAAAATGCAAGAGCTTCACGGATTGACGGCGAGTGATTTTCAATATGTGGCTATCGCCTTAGCGCCGCGCACATTAATTTCAAAAGTTCGCAAGAGGTTCACGAATTCTCATGATCAACATACCAGACATGGTATTTTGGAAGAGCTCAGGCTTATGAGGATGCACAAGTTGTGCTGATTCGATGTGTTCAAGTCCCAGAAATGACTTTTCTGGCGCGATTCAGGATCGTCAAGACGCAACAGTCAGGTTGACCCGTGGCGATGTAGCCCCGAAAACCATGTCCTGGCATGCTTCCGGATCTTCAAACAGTTTTCCAACGAGGCAGTTCTTTCAGTAAAGGTGAACGGTTGTAAGGACCTATGAAGAGCGAGCTTGGATGTAGGGTTTACTCCAACATCGTTGATGCATCTTG